CTGTTACACGAACACGATCAAAGTATTTGCAAACTTTCTGCTTTCTTCTATGAAAAGGCATTCACTCAGGAATTCAAACTCGGCAAGCCTTTGCTCTTAACTATGTCAACAGTAGCAGAGCAGTAAACACAGTTCATTAGTCGCCTTGGTCGCCAAACAATGTACCACAGAAACTCTAAGGAAATTTACATTTTGCCGATTTGATTTACACATAAGGACCATTAGTAAATGGATTGCCGATCTAAATGCTCGTTCATTTGGTGTCAGCGTTGTTGTTTTAGGTGTGTGTGAGTGAAAAGAATCAACAACATTCATAAATCAATGACAAGATGTCACAAAAGCCTCGCGAGCGATGCAAATCACTGAGCAGAGAATGAGTGTTTTTGGTGACAATTAACATTATGAATATGGTCAAGTAGGAAGACGCTAAGACAGCTACTTAGCGTAACGTTCCACAACATGTCAAAAACTCGGACTGGTTTGACACCTACACGTTCCGATTCCCGACACGGCCGGTCGAATTCGTTTCCCGACAAAATGATGGCGGACTCCTTAGAACCACCGACGAAGCCAAGTCAAAAGAGGCGAAGCTTTGACGCCACGGCTTCGACAGCTGCACAAGATCCTCTTCAGGATGGCAAAATACTTGTTCTAAAAGTTATTGGAAAAGTGAACTTGCGCATCGAGAGAAAAGATTATCAAGAGTTGATCAGAATAGTGAATCAAATCCCAGGAGATGTACTAGTTCTCATCATGGACAACTTATCAATCGATAGCTTGTATGCTGATATTCCAAGTAGTTTGGGTTCACTTGAAGCTCTTTTCACAAAGATATTTTACGACCGACAAGGACGGCTTCCTGATCACGAGCTGTGCGGCGACGATTTCATACATCACCTCGTTCGTTATTTTGTCGATCTTCTCAAATACAACAACCAGACATTTGCGAGTGCACGATCTAGAGAGCACATAAGAAACATATTTAACATTTGCACACAAATGGACGGATCTCTTTATCAACGGCTTGTTCAGAGAGCAGAGCAGTTTTCCAAGGCTCTGAGTGGCTTTTCTGAGCATGCTCTGGTCGAGGCGATAAAAAGATCATCAGCGACTTATCACATGAAGATGGAAGAGGCTTTAAAGGCAGAATTGGAGCGAGCTGTGAGCCACTACAACTCTGCTTTACGAAAACTCTCTGACGTTTCGTCAAAAGCAACGCGCAACAATTCAGAGTTCTCTTCGGTCGTTGCAGCAAACAGTCAAGCAGACATGGATGAAAAAACTTCACAATACATGAGGAAACTATCAGGACAAACTATCGAAGATAGATTGGTTTTTAACCAATCGCTTTTAAATGCTGTACAGGTCAATTCAAGAGACAAGCTTCTGATCCATGTCCTGATAGAAAAGTTGGAAGTTCGAATAAATCACGATAAAGAGGTGGGTTGAATTTCATGGTAAGAATTAAATAAAAATAACAATGGTATATCATGACAGTGTGTCAAAAATCAGTGTCAAAGAGACTAGCACCAGTTGCGAACATAAATCAGAGAAGACAAAGCTGCAAGGTAATCCTTTAATCCGATCATAAATCAAGTCCTTTAGCCAAACAATTGACTCTCACAATGTCACTTTCCACCCAGATGAATAGTTGAATACCCGTGAACCGTTGGGGAAATTTGATAAATTGCTCATTGAGAAGGG